CATTTATTGTTTCTGTATAACATTTAGGGGGTGTAATTTAACCGTTCCCTGGTATAATCATGGTGTGATACGACGTCGATCATAATGAGAACACAATAGCGAGCATGCGCAAAGCAATTGTAATTAGTTGTACTGTAAATTGTTTATCAGCTGATTACAATAAGAACGGCGGTACCGCGGGTTAATAACACTTGGTGTTCGGTTAGAGATGTTTCCATGTAGTTTCACTGTTCCCTGGTATTTCAAACCAGTCATTCTTGGCTGGTTTTTGATTCACGTTTTCAAATAGAGTTTGGAGAGGGCGTTTATAAGTCAGACCTACGTTTTGAATTAGAATTACAATTTAAAGAAATTATAACTACATTTTGGAAAATTTGAACTACGTTTTGAAAAATTAAAACTTCATTTTGGGAAACTATAGATCTACATTTTGTGAAATTTACGCCTACGTTTTGATAAATTAGACACTAAATTTTGCAATTACTTTTTGATTTTAACATGGACTTTTTCTGCGTATGGCACCCCATATGATTCTAGTTGCTGTTATTACAGTCGTGGCAGGGTCACCAACGGACAGGTTAACAGCATGACCCCCACTTCGTCCCACTATTTATACTCCGGGGTGAAGAGAAGCAAACGTACAGTAAGTGCTCGAATAAGCGCTTATAAAATGTTTGGAGGCTTCAGTGCGGCGCTTATTCGAGAGCGACGCTTATTTGAATGCAGCGCTTATAAAAAAAATATTTGCGGGACGCTTTCCATGCCCGTTCCCATTTAACCTATTTCACATACTGTATTCCCGTAGTTCAGTAGGCCTATTATATAGGTCTTATCATCGTAAACAAACGTTTACAAAGAAATGATTGTGTCTTCATTGTTTTAGTTACATTTAGTTTCATTACACACAGTGTAATGTTATATGCTCTCGAGAGCGGTGCTTATAACGAAAAAAAAAAAAATCCCGGCGGCGCTTATTCAAGAGCGGCCTTATTCGAGCATACGGTAAGTAAAGTGTCTTCCCCAAGAACACAAACAATGCGACGAACGTCGGTCTCGACACGTTACACGCTGCGCCACACGCTCCCATTCCTGATCTTGTGATGTTTTGTTCGACTTTACCACCGTTCTATCACAGACACTGTATATAGGGTTTGTGGTTACGGGGCGCCAAACAACACACTACCTGTTCTGCCACACAAAACCATGTTTGTAAGGGACAAATCATGTTTTGTAATATACAAACATACATAAAAGTTATTCTGTCTTTACAAAACATATTTGTAAATGACAAAACCATATTTGTCTGTACAAAATATATTTTGTACTGACAAAATATTGTTTTGTCATTTACAAAACATGTTTTGTACAGACAAACATGGTTTTGTCTTTTACAAAACATGTTTTGTGAGGACAAACATGGTTTTGCCATTTACAAAACATGTTTTGTCCTCACAAAACATGTTTTGTCCTCACAAAACAGGTTTTGTCGAGACAAAACATATTTTGTAATGACAAAACCATGTTTGTCGAGACAAAACATGTTTTGTAAATGACGAAACCATGATTGTCTGTACAAAACATGTTTTGTCGAGACAAACATGGTTTTGTCTTTTACAAAACCTGTTTTGTGAGGACAAACATGGTTTTGCCATTTACAAAACATGTTTTGTCCTCACAAAACATGTTTTGTCCTCACAAAACATGTTTTGTCCTCACAAAACATGTTTTGTCCTCACAAAACAGGTTTTGTCGAGACAAAACATATTTTGTAATGATAAAACCATGTTTGTCGAGACAAAACATGTTTTGTAAATGACGAAATCATGTTTGTCTGTACAAAACATGTTTTGTCGAGACAAACATGGTTTTGTCATTTACAAAACATGTTTTGTAAATTACAAAACCATGTTTGTCTCGACAAAACATGTTTTGTAAATGACAAAATCATGTTTGTCTCGACAAAACATGTTTGTATCGACAAAACATGTTTTATGAGGACAAAACCATGTTTGTCTGTACAAAATATGTTTTGTCTCGACAAAACATGTTTTGTAAATTACAAAACCATGTTTGTCTCGACAAAACATGTTTTGTAAATGACAAAACCATGTTTGTCTACACAAAACATGTTTTGTTAAAGACAAAACCATGTTTGTCTGTACAAAACATGTTTTGTAAATGACAAAACCATGTTTTCGACATGGTTTTGTCGAAAACTATGTTTTCGACAAAACATGTTTGTATCGACAAAACATGTTTTATGAGGACAAAACCATGTTTGTCTCGACAAAACATGTTTTGTAAATTACAAAACCATGTTTGTCTCGACAAAACATGTTTTGTAAATGACAAAACCATGTTTGTCTACACAAAACATGTTTTGTTAAAGACAAAACCATGTTTGTCTGTACAAAACATGTTTTGTAAATGACAAAACCATGTTTCGACACACTACCTTTTTTTGTCATGTTTATAGGGAACAGACATGGTTTTGTCTCTTACAAAATACGTTTTGTAAAAGACAAACATGGTTTTGTAGTTCACTCAAACACAAAACATGTTTTGTCGCTTACAAAACACGTTTTGTAAAAGACGAACATGGTTTGTCTTTCAAAAAACATGTTTTGTAAATCACAAAACATGTTCCGTATATTCATGAGGGTTTCGTATTCATGAGGGGAGGAGTCAATTAAACGTGTGATTGAGATAGTGAATAAAGGTGAATCTTCCACGCCCCCACCGCGTCGCCCATCACAAGAAATCACAATCGGAATATTGACCAGTATGAGCTTGACCCCCTATACCAGGCCTAGGCTAGGATAATCACCCCTGGGATAGGCTAGGTGGGATTAGGTAGGTATAGTAGGGAACCATGTGTCAAATGGCTGAATCGGCTGCACGGGGGTTTCTAGCACACTACATACAATATCAGGACAGGCGAGTCAAGTTGACCCACCCCCTCCCTCAAATGATTCCCCATTATGTATTGTTGTATAATAGGCTATTATATTGTGACATTAATAACACAATAACACTATGCCATACTATATGCCTAGGGCCACAAGCTGTGACTCAAAAAAGGGTTCCTTCATGGATTCCTTTCTGCATTCAGAGTGTACTTTTTGAGAGTATATATTAACTGAATATGTTTTCTATATTATATTAATAGTTCTCCATAAAAAAATTCA